TTTCTTGTCTTATTTTCGGTTTCTTGTGTTGTTTTGTTTTTACGTTTTTTTGTTAATAAGTAGTTATTCTTTTAATATTTTATAATTAGGATTTTTGTTTCAAATGGAATTACATATATAATGCATATATCATGCGCCGCCAGTGTCTGTCTTGTCTGTATTATCCTTTCTTCTCTTGTGTTGTGTGAGGTGTTTGGGTGTGGTTGTGGGTTTTCGCTATTCATTAAAACGAGTGGGGGCAGGGTCAGGATCGACCGATCGACCGATCGACAGAGCCCCAAAGCAACGGCTTAAGAATGAACAAATATTGTGAATTAAGTGAATGCTGTGTATGAGTATTTTATGCTTTTCTCTCATTTAGCAAAAAAGTGCAAAGTGAGTTAATTTTGAATGCATTTAATTTAATTGTGTTGTATGAGTGGAGGAGGCTGCTTCACGCTTGGAAAATTGCTTTGACTCTTTGTGTTATTAATCATTAATTTTGGTTAGATTTCGTACTGTCTAAAAACGTAGAACTATAAAAGGGTTCTCTCATTTTGGGGGCTTTTCTTGTTTCGTTTTTGTTTTTGTTTTTGTTTTTCTTGTTTATTTGTTCTCGTTTAAGGTAAATTCTGCAAAAGCAATTACCAAAAAATTAGGGTTTCAACTACAATTATAATTTGTAATAATGATAAAAATGTCGCATTTGCTTGGCAAAGGAAAATTAAATCTTTACTTTCTTTTTGTTTTGTTTAGTTTTAGTTTTGCTTTTTGTTTTTTGTTTTTGTTTTGTACATTTGCATAAATATTATTCAATTGCATAATTTTCATTTGTTTTTTCGTTTTCTTATTTGTGTGTGTGTGTGTTTGTATTTGTAAATTCATATTGCATTCAAGTGTCTGTGTGAGTGTTGGGGTGTATGTTTTAATCCTAAAACTACCATTTTCCTGAAAACTATAGCCAAATTCATTGCCGCTCCGGTACCGGCTGACACACTCCCCTGGGAATATGCTCACGCTTGATCGAAGATACCATTCGTATATGTATCTATGTATGGGTGTAACTTAGGATCGAACAGAAATGAAATGAGGAATAAATATGGTTAAATGAGTGGTTACAATAACTATATGCCATGCCATCCTATATATTTTTCCTTCGTCTATAACTATTTTCATGTAGTTTCACGTGTTTTTGTCCATCTTGTCCATTTCGGGTACTGTTTTGTTTTTTACCTATACATTTTGTGTGTAGTGTACGTACGAGTATTTTCTAGGCGCAAAATTTTAATTTTACAAATTTCGTGTGAGTTTTGCTCGGTTTTGGTTTTGGTTTTTAATAGTTTTTCTCTTCCCTTAGTTTTTGTTTTTGTTTTTGTTTTCTTTTCTGCCTTTTCGTTTTTCCCCGTGTTAGTATTGGTTTTCTGTTCTTGGAAACTTGTTTAAAAATTAAGCTCAATAATCTTAAATTATTTATGTATTTTTCTTTTGCTTTCTTTTTTCTTTTCCGGTTAAATTTGTATACACGCCACCGTGGCCTTTGCTCAAACTATTTCCATATTAGTGTCTCATTTCGTGCCTTGTATCCATTATAATAATATTCTAAAAAGTTTAAATATTGCATTGTGTACACCCCTGGTATTGGTTATATTCAATTCAATTCGATTTAGTTTTAGTTTAAGTTTCTTTTCCTTGCTGTCTTGCTGCTCTGTGTGTCTGTCATTTTAGGTTTTTGTTTATCTTTTGTTATTTGTTTTTTGCTTTTTTTTTACTACTGGAAACAATTTACACTTAGTTACAACACTGTCTTGTAATTGCTAAAATTTGTAATACTCATGAACTCTCCACAAGAGATGGATGCATATTTTTCGTTTCTGTCCTATTCTTTCATTTCTTTTCTTTTCTCTTCTTTTCGTTTTTTTTGCGTTTGTTCAACTTGTAAATTACGTGTGGGTTGCACTTGATTTCTTCGTCAAAGGATTAGCATTAGAGTAGAGTGGGGTGTGTGTGAGTATTATAAACGCCTTTTAACTACGGCGTGTAATGGGGTTTTACATTATTTTTAGTATATATATGTCTAAATGTATATACGTTGAGTGAGTGCATCAATTGTTAATAGAGGTTACATCAATTATATTTATAAATATCTTTTTTTTTTTTTTTTGCCTTTTCTTCTTTGTTTTTTGTGTTTTTTTTTCGTTTTGTTTTATTTAATATATATTTATGTGTATGTGTAAATATTGAAATTATGCCCAGGATCTTCTCTGGGCGTGGCTCTAGATGCCAACGCTTCTTCAATCTCTTCTACTTAATTATGCTGCCAGAGGGGGAATGGGGATGGGACAGTGCGGGGGTATGGGCTGTGGTGTATGTAAATACATTCAAGAAATTTGTAGTTTACGCAGTGTGTGTTATTTTAGGCTAGAAGCTGATTCCGCGAGAAGCATTCGCTTCTTCTCTGCTCACTAAGTTCAACAGTAAAGACAAACATCTAATTTCAAAAAAACGCTAGTGAATGTTAAGAAACTGTTTGTTGGGGGATAGTCTAGTCTAGTGCCTAGAAATCCGCTTTTTTTGAATGGGAGCTAGAGTTAGAGTTCGAGCACGAGTTCTTGGTTTTCGCTTTTGTGTTTCCGATCTTGTGTCTCTTTTATAAATTTCAACTGTGTTGCAAAACGTTTGCCTACATCTAATTGTCATCAATGTGCCGGATCCATGCCTTTCCTTTCTTTTCCTTTCCATTCCTTTCGGTTCCTTTGCGTTCCTTTCCTTGCTGCCTGGATGTACGTTTCGCTGCACAATATATAATTTCTTCGTAAATATCTATATATGTTGGTATATATGTATGTGTGGTTGTTTATTTTATGTATGTGGGTTCCAAGTAAACTCCTCCTGTAAAATCTGCTGCCTTGCTGCCAATCGTCGTTCCGGGATCTAGTAGTAGAATATTTGTCCGGCCTTCTGGCGCTTACGCTCCTCCAGCTTGCGATTGATCTCCTGCTGCCGCTCGGCCTTGCTGAGTGCACGGGCCACGTACAAGAACTTGTTGTCGCCCAGCTGTTTGCCATGGAGTCCAATAACGGCGGCCAGCGCCGATTGTGGATTCTCAAAAGCCACAAATCCAAACCGGCGTGAGCGTCCCTCCTCGTCGAGCATCAGCTGCAAAAGGATTACAAAGGGAAACATCCTGTTGTCATTTCTATACAAAATCAATGGTAAACAAATCAAGCTGTCAATAGGGGCTCCCTCTCGTGCTCGCGCCTATTCGAACGACGGCATTCAGACGCAACTTTCTTGGAGCTGTGCGGCCGGGCCGGGCCGGGTCAGGCCAGGCCGGCCCTCCCCTGTCGGCGTGTTCCCGCGACCCGCGACCCGCGAGCACTGGGCATGCGCACGACAAAGTGAAAGAGCGAATTTAAGAGCGGATAGTGGGAAACTGTGCCACATGGCTTTCCATCTGCAGTCCGCTCTCGCCCACAATCCACCCACACATGGTTATCACCCACGCCACGCGGACAAGCTGGCCGGGAGGACGAGCGAACGGACGGGGAAATGTAAGGTTGTAAGTAGACAATCAAGACATAACGAACCTTGTGACTGGTGATGCGCCCATAGGGCTCGAACATCTCGCGCAAGTGCTGCTCGGTGAACTCCTCGCTGAGATTCTTCACGTACAGATTCTTGAAGTGGGTCGCCTTCTCCTGCTCACGGTCCCGCCGAGGAATGAACTTGACCACATGAACTTTCTGATTATTGCACAGCATTCCATTGACCTTCTCGATGGCCGCGCGAGCGGCTTCCTCCGAGTCGAAGTGAACAAAGCCGTAGCCGCGCGAGTTGCCATCCTCGTCCTTGGCCACATTGCAGTTGAGAATGTTGCCGAACACCGAGAAGGTGTCGTACACCGCCTTGTTGTCGATCGACCGCTCCAGATTCTTGATGTAGATCTTGCCGCTGTCTGGCGAGCTGGCGCTACTCCCAGTGCTGCCGCTGGCCAGCGCTCCGGCGGAGTGCGACGAGCTGGTTGTGTGCCCGCTGGTCACCGAACTATGCCCGTGCCTGCCGAGCACAGCCGCAGCGGCCAGGTGATTGCTGGCCGCGTGGCCACCGCCGACATGGCCCAGGTGACCGGCGGCAGCGTGGTGATGCAGCTGCTGCTGGTGATGTGCAGCGGCCAGCGTATGGTGGTTCAGCGCCGGCTGCTGCTGGTGATAGTTCGCCGGGTTGCCACGGAACGTCATCGAGTTGACGAACATGATGGCTGGCTGTTTGTGGAGCGTGGTGGCAGCTAATAAGTTGCAGGTGCTGTAAGGTGGTGTGTGGCTGAGAATTTTGACGGTCTTCGGCAGCGCGCTGGTGGTATTTTGTTGACTTTGCTCTTGTTCCCTGAAACACATACACTGATTGTTAGACTTTACTTCGAAATGCAAACAAAACGAAAACTTATTGTTGGAGTATACTTGGGAGAGTATACTTGAGGGAGATATGCAACGAAAAATAGCCTAATTGTTAAAATGCATGGAAGTTAAATTTAACATGGATTGGGCAAAAGAAAAATACTCTTTGTGGGAAATACTAAAATTCTCTGAAAAAATCGTTTTTACCGTCTCTCTTTCTCTCTCTCTTTGTACTTTTTCTAACTTTCACTTACTTTCACTGTGGCTTAACTTACGCGGACACGCTGCAAACGACTGGATGCGACTTGATCTTCTTAATTAGTTATTAGTTCTTAAGCTTAGTTCTTTATTATTTAATATTTGTTGTATTGTATGCAAATTGTCGCTGCTCCTTGCGTGCATGGCAGTGTGACCGCGGAATTATCGATAAAATATACCGTCAGACCCGCAAAAATATACCAAAATACACCTTCTCATTTTAAAAATATACCGCAAATATACTGTGGTCTTAAATCATATTCCTCGAGTTTGAGGGTCTACTTGAAATTATTAGCTTGCAAAGACTTTTCACACTAAAAAAATAATTTAATCCGATTGCAGAATCAATTTGGCATATTATAAATACTCCTTTTTATTGGATTGTATACCTTATGACCTTATATTTAGGTAGAACCACAATGTGTTCGGTCCTCCCCCGCCCTTTGCTGGACTAATAAGCTACTGCCAATCTCTCGTTGTAGCTCACAATTGCGTTGCACCACCTATCGACTATTGTCTATCGATTGCACACCGGCACAAAATAGTGAATTTTTTTTAAACAAATGTAAATAAAAACTGCATTTCGAGTTTAATGTGAACATGGAGACGGAACGCATAGTGGCGAGTCCATCGGCCAGCGATTCCAATCCATCCGTACACTCCCAACGCCTACGCAGAAGAGATAAGCGTAGGCGGGACAATGACAATTCTTCCACCGATCATATAAGTATAGTCGCGGAAGTGGCCAACATCTACAAAGCGGATCTCCAGGACAGCTTGCTGGCGCTTCAAATGCCACAGAAGCACCGATTCCTAGAGCAGAGCAGCGACTTTATATCCGTGCACGATCTTCTGCTAAGTCAAGCTGATAACAGCACCCAGGAGGAGCAGGAGGAAGCAGCGCCAGTACCCATTTCTGAGCTGATATTACGAGATTTTTGCTCATCCCCCACATACGAGGAGGAGGAGGATGAACCGATGAATGACTCTCCGCCGTGGTTTCGATTTCGAAAGAAACGAATAAAAACCTACAGCCGAAAGCCGCCAACCAGGAAGGAGCCACCAGTTGCCACCCACGAAGATGAAGAGGATCGTATGAGCTGCTCCTCCGGGCTCTCGGTACAGGAGGATCACACAGCCGCACCGCATGTGCCACCGACGACGGCACTGTCTGAATTAGATGCCAATAGCTCCCAGAAGATCTGTGAAAATCTTTTAAATTTAAGTGAATATTTCACCCTAAGCAATACCAGTCCAAAGCCCACCAAGGCCACTGCTGGCATTCACAAAGCGATAGCTGCCAATACGAGTATTGATCTACCCATAAAACAAGAAGCATCATTGCAGAAGAAGAATGTGGATTCGGATTCATCTGTTGAGTGCACTACTGTGGAATGTGAAAGTCGGGAGCTGGGTGACGAACCCTCTGATGTCTGTGATAACAAACGACCCCAAGGTAAGGATGCAATCATTACACTGCTTCTGTTACACCAAATTGTATTTTAAGGAAACGAAACAAACACTCTTTTCGGCGAGAGTGGGAGAATTCGTAAGACATGCCCAACAAACGACGATTCGGAAATAGGTAAGACTTCATGCCCTCTAATTACGAGCAATTTCATCAATCAATTTCCTTACAGATTCCAAGGTTTGTGAGGACTGGTCCGAAGGTGATTCGTTTCTGGTGACTTATAACACCGAAACGATGCCATTGGACGATGATGAACCTGAAAAAATTGATACTTCTGATGAAATGCCAAGAAAAAGCTTGGAAACCAACGATCCGAGCACTCAATTTATATTGGAAGACATCCCAATGAGTGAGTGGCAAACGACAATGGATATTCCCGATGTTTCAAATAGCAAAACTGAAGCGTCGCCTGATCAGACTGTCAAATTGGAGGAGACGGTGAAAATTGAAGCAGAGTTTCTCATGGGAATTCCGGACTGGGAGCCTGTGGATATTCCCGATGGCATTTCATTGCGAACAGCCTCAAACAAACCGATTGAGGTGTCCGAGGAGATGCAAATGAAGGCAGCCCAGCTACTGGCAGACGTCCATGCTGGAGAATGGAAGCCAATGGATATTGGAGAAGTTGCTGGATTCCGAACTGCCTCAAACAAACCGATCAAGGTCTCTGAAGAGAACGAAATGAAGGCAGCCAGGCTACTGGCAGATGTCCAGGCTGCAGACCAAATGAGTAAAATAGAAATAAGCGATACTCAGTTCCTGCAAGACATTCATTTAAGCCAATGGCCAGCCATGGACGTTCCAGAAGCTGTCGAATTCCGAACAGCCTCGAACAAATGTATCGAAATATCGGAGGAGATGAGGCTGAAAGCTGCCAAGTTGATAGCTGAAGTGGAAGCAGGGGAAGTAAGCAAACCAGAAACTACAAGTAACCATAGAAATCCAAAAGAAATTGTAGTCAGTGAATGCCGGGAAAAGCCTGGCTCAGAGGTTTTCGGCTTCCGAACAGCGTCCAACAAACGGATTGAAGTTTCTGAAGAGATGAAGGCGAAAGCAGCTAAATTAATAGCCGATGTGGAAGCTACGAACATCAATGAATGGAACCCAGTGGATAATCCTGAAACAGTTGAAATTCGACCAGCTTCAAATAAATATATCCAAGTTTCGGAAGAGATGAGACTGAAAGCTGCCAAATTAATAGCTGAAGTGGAAGCGGAATATGTTAGCCAACCAAAACCTTCGAGAAGTCAAACCCGCAAAGAAAATAACATAAATGCGTGGCAGGATATGGATACTTCAGAGGTTTTCGGCTTCCGAACGGCCTCCAATAAACCAATTGAGATTTCCGAGGAGATGCAAGCGAGAGCAGCCCAACTATTAGCCGAAGTTCAGGCAGCAGCAGACTTCACTGAATTGAATCCAATTGAAAATATAGAAACAGTTGGATTCCGCACAGCGTCCAATAAATGTATCCAAATATCGGAGGAAATGAGAATGAAAGCGGCCAAACTAATAGCTGAAGTTGAAGCTGAAGATGTTAGCAAACCAAAACCTTCAAGCAGTGGAAATCACCAAGAAATGTGTATAAAAGCGTGCCAGGAAATGGATGCCTCAGAGTTTGTCGGCTTCCGAACAGCCTCAAACAAACCAATTGAAGTTTCTGAGGATATGCAAGCGAAAGCGGCCAAGCTACTGGCGGATCTACAAGCTCCAAGTGACGCACAGTTTCTGCAGGAAATTGACTTGGCTGAATGGGAGGCAATGGATATCTCCGAAGTGTCGGTTAGCGAAAGGCAGCCCACTGATATTCCGGAAACATTTGGCTTCAAAACAGCCTCGAATAAGCCCATCGAAGTCTCGGAGGAGATGAAAGCGAAAGCAGCCAAATTGATAGCCGCTGTCTATGCAGAACCAACAAATGAGCCAAATCAGAAGAGTCATCAGGCAGCTCCATCAAGCGATGCCCAGGAGGCAGTGGATGAAGCAGCAATTGGGGCTGCGCATACTTTCAATTGTGACCCTAAATGCCAGTTGGAATTGTCTGATTATCATTCCGGTGATGATTTCAAAGGTTTCCAATTGGACGACTGCCAGCCCTTGGACTTGCTTGATCTCTATATCTTTCCCAGGCTATCACAGCAGAAAGCAGAGCAAAAAGCCGACTCAAAATCTGTGACACCCAAGCAACGACGGGAAACTTTCGATGGCATTCCGTCAAGCAAGCGTCGACGTCGGCACGCAGACACTCAGAAACTTTCAACTACTCCACAGAAACACGGAAGGCAGCTCTCCAAGACAACGTCGTGCCACAGTGCATTGGAATCGCCAATCAAATCACAGAGCATACCCGACTCTCTGTCACAACTGGCGGCGCGTTCGCCTCTTGATCGCATCACAAAGACTTCTGTGATTGCTCGAAGGAACCTGCTGTCGCTTAGCAGGCGACGCAAGCGGGTTAGCACCGGTGGTGATGACTGCCCGGCCCAGCCCACGGACACTGTCACTCCGGTTAAGCCTCGCTTTGGACCGATGTCTGCTTCGACCAGCACGCCGCTGGCCAACAGGAATATAAACATAGTTGAAGAGGATGTTTCGCCCATTTGCATGCCTCCGCAGAAAGCTCCCCGCATTGGCCTGAGTCGCAGTCGCTATTAGTCAACTTTGTTATTAGATTTGTACTGAATGCCCAGTCCTACGCCACCGGTTGGCTTCATATCCAGAACTTCCCAAGTGAGTAAAAACATAAGTGAAAAGGTAACAAAAGAAAGTGTTTAATTAAATAGAACAATACTCGTACATTGGTGGTGTTTCAGGGCATTACATGGCATAGATTAATTCATAGTTAAAATGATGGCAGGGCAAAGCAATTGGACACATAATTTGATACGAATTAAGACCTATTGTGGTGGCGCTGCTTGACCAATTCCAAGACAAAGACCAGCACGGAGAGGGTCAAGCCAGCGGCCCACAGGAAAAATGCAATGAAATAAAACTCCAAGTCATAGGCCTGGGACGCGGGCTCCTCATCCCGCATCAGAGTGAGCAATCCAGTCTTAATCATAATTCGCCAGGTGTCCATCTTCATCTTGTCCAGAATGCCATGCTCCTGGATTCTCCTCGCGTATTCGTTGAACACTCTCAGATAGGGCAATCTATTGGATACCACATAGGACTCGAGGGCAGCCCCAATGCTCTGGCGGATAACTTTGGAGCGAGGAGTCTTCAGTAGGTACTGCTGTCGGAACAGCAGCTCCATGCGATCCTCATAGAGGCAATACATATATCGGTTATCGAGGCCATTGCGCAACTTTTCCAGCGTGGGGACATCCGTGGAAAGACTGTTCCTGAGCACAGGCTCGGGCAGAAATGTTTTCGTCCTAAATGTCGCTAAATAGTAATCGTCGTGCAGGGTGGGATAGGGCGCCTTCGCCAGGCTCTCCAGGGTGGTGTACTGTGGCTCGTACAGTCCTGAGGTTAGCATGCTCGAGAGCATGGCCAGATAGACATTGGTCAGAATGAATCCACTTAACGTTAGTATCAGATACGTCAGCAAATCCTGCCACACTGAGATGCGCGTCTCATGGTTTGAGATGTACAGAAAGTGGCTCAAGCTGCGCAGAAAGCAGACACCCATTTGGCGACCTTGCCGTCCCGAACGGACAGCGAAGAGCATGATCGTCACATAAAATACTGTGGCCACCAGGATTAACCAGAGACTCCAACCGAAGGGCTTGGCAAAGTACAGATACCTGGCGATGGGTGGGGCATGTGGCACCAGAAGGTATTCATTCAATATCGAAAACGGCACCGTGGACTGCACAGGCCATATGAGATCCCTCGGATAACTCACAAAGTCGATTTCCCTTGCAAAGAGAAGTTCAATAACGCCCTCGTAACGGTCAATCACACCGCCTTTTGGCAGAGGCACTTCCACCAGTGTGGCATTGTAGCGTACCGTGAACTCCTTGAGTCCGTGGTACAGGTAGCCCGTCCGCACCAGTCGGTTGTTGTGGTCGACAGAGAAAAAGTCCCGCGGTGAAATGTTCGTGATAATTGTGCGTATGGGAAAGCCGTAAAAGTTTCGAATCTTACGTTCTCTTGCCAGATATTCCGAGATATTGAAGAGTTCCACAGCCTGGATCGAGGGATATGGCTGATAGGTGTAGAGCGAGCTCCGGTGCATCAGTAAAACCTGCAGAAATCCACTCTGGTAGCAGTAGGTAAAGATTTCCTGCTGCTGCCACGACGTGGGTTCCTCTCGGCACACGAACACAATTTGAAGCTGATGAAGCTCACCCAGCAGCTGCGTCAGCTGCTCAGCCACCACTGGATCCAGCTGTGATTGCACCAGATAGACCACGACCAGAGCTCTCTCGGTAATTTTTCCCGCCAGTCGATAGCTGCTTGCATTGGATTTCAGTTCCAGTTGCATCTGTGGCGTGTCTAAGGCCTGAAGAGTGCCCGATTCCCCCCCAGGCTCCACAAAGTTAATAAAAACGTTTAGCTCCATTCCGAGTGCACGATTAAGTGCAAGAAGCTCTGCTGTGGGACTTGAGATACCATCAGGAGTACCGAAAATTGTAAAAATAACCAACACAATCAGCAACGAGAACATTTTGATGGTACTTCAAGTGCCGCCTATCCTTTTTATAGGAATGTTTTAACAGCAACATGATTCGACAATATCATGTCGTTCCTGCACGTTTGAACCACAAACAGTCCAAACTAATTAGCCGTGTAACACCATGTAATTAAATACTTTCAATAACATGTTTGCCATTAGGCACAATGTATGTTTGGCTAAACAAAAAGTGAGTTGCACTTTAATATACATAAATCCACATTGCATTCATTAATCAATACACCAATTCTGTTGTAGTTGATAGAATTTCAATTTTAGAAACAGTTGGTTTTAGTTGGTTATTGATTAATATAGAAATTATAAAAAAGAATATGGGTACTTCGACGCACTTCTTGGCGGCACATTTAAATATTTCATGTACCTGCTGCCTCCGCCGTTTTCCAACACTTCGCGCGTTAGCCAACACTTTCATATGTGCAATAAAATAATCCAGCGTCCAGAAAATAAATAAAGTGTAAATAGAGTCCGGGCGCAGGTAAAAATATTTATTTTGCATTACATAAACTCAATTCTGAGTGTGTCGCATTCCGTAAACAAAGTGAAAGCGTTGGAAAGACCATCAAACAGGTGCGCTGGCATTTGTTTACGGCACTGCATGGAATATACAAATACAACAACACAACTGCATTTAGTGGGAAAGTTGTGTTTACTTTTTTCCAAAAATTCTTTAAGGTTTGCCATAGCTTCGCCATTGAGAAATGGGAAGTTATTACTGATAAGCTTGGTGCTTGTTGTGTTCTTGCGATAATTGAAACTTGTCGCTCACTCTTATGCGATTAAATTTTACTTTGAAGCTTTGAATTCAGTGCACTCATACATACACACACATGCATACATACAGCATACAGTACAAATTCGTATGTGTGTGCACTAAGCGAGAATAAGTAGTGGAGAATTTTGTATACCCTCCGAGAGAGCTTCATGGCCTTGCAATATCTTCGAACATAATATTTTCAAAAAGTGGAACAGTTGACTTTAAGAACTCTGAATGTTCGCATATGTATCATTAATATGTTCATAAATATTTGCATTTCACTCGTACATTAAATAACGTAATTGGATATGGAATAACAGCTATTTCTGTACTTGTGTGAATATTTATATGGTATGGGAGCCATAAGAACGATCCAACTCTGTGGACTAATTTAAATTCTTCGTCACTGGATTATCCCATTTTTGAGACTGTGAAAGATTTTGAGAGTTTGATTAAATCAAAAATATATTAAAATGTCAGATCGTTTTTGAAGGAATTTACAAGCATACAAATCCTTTATCGGAATATATCGAAATAAATGTGTGTGTACGCCCCCATATTCGTAAATTCTCGTTGATCCATCCATATGTATACAATCGCAGTCGCAATCGGGAAAAGAGAAGAGTAACGTTACGTTCGTCGTCTCATAGCCACTCGATTACGTTCTGGCCAATAAATTAGTCGCAGCTGAGTACGTTCTGTTCGGTTTTAAACAATTTCTCTGTTTTTGCTGTATTCGGGCTATTGTCATTTATGTGAGCCATTGAAAAGACACGTCAGTCGGCGGCCTGGCAATAACTCAGCAAAAACTGCAGCTGACACGCACCAATTTCTCTCCATTCATTATTAGGATCTTTGCAGTGCAACTCCAGCTTACGTTCAACGCGTAGTTTCCGTATAAACAATCCAGTGAGAATCGAATTCAATCCATCCACCATGTCTGACGATTTCGATGGCTGCGAGTGCGTTTGGTCGCACGAATTCGCCATGCAGCGTCTGATAAACTTTGTAAGTTGATTTTCCCTTGCAACGGGCTTCCCTTATTTGATATGATATGATCCTTTGTGGTAGATTCGTCAAAACCAGAACACATGCACAGACACAGAGTGCATCGACGGTGAGTGGACGCCGCGTCATTGCTATTTCAGCAACGGCCTCTGACCTTTTCATGCATCTCAATTGCAGTTAGCGGACGCTTGCAGCCGACTGGATCGGGGACAGCTGATAGCAATGGCTTCCTCATCGCTATGATCTTCATGATACTGGCCATGTTCATGTACATTGTAAATCCGGGCACCTGGGGCCGTCTCGGTCTGAGGAGCAACACCAAGAACCCTCGCCGTGACAACAACCAGGATGGAGCTCCGCCTCCACCCCAGCCGCCGCCACCGGCCATCAACTAGAGGGCCGCTCGGTACGCTACGCTGCTGAACACCTAAACAATTTGCATTTTTTGGTTTTATCATTACGAGCAGTTAGACAAAGGACACAACACACACAAACACCCACAAAAGATTCCAGAACAGGGAGATCCGTTCAAATACGTAATATCAATTCGATTTGGCCTAGTTCATGGGATCAGACAAAGATTAGATCAATTAAACAATACAGCAGCCCACATATGTATGTATATTCTGTACAAGTAAACGACACAGACACAAATACAATACACACACACACACACAGAAATACATAAATCCTAAAATCAGCAAATTACAGGTTGGACATCGACTCGACTCGTGTATTGGCAAACTAAATTGTTAAAAACTTATCTACTAGGAGGCTTTTAAATATGTATCTAGAATTGCTACATAGGTGGATCATGCATCATGGGTGGGATCACGCACTAATCCTCGTTCTGCAGCTTCACCATCTTTTCCCGCACGTTCTTCAGCAGATCCTTCATTTGCTCGTACTTGCCCGTCGAATCGGGCAAATTCTCAAAGTTGAGGACATCGCACACGCCCACCCGGAAGTTACTGTCGTTTGGCAGCTGGTCGAACTTGGAGAACTTGAGGATCGGCGTACCCTCGAAGGTGGCCTTGAACTGCCGTGTGGCCAGGTCTCTCGTCCCGCTAGGCGTTGTGGGTGCCGACTGGGCTTGCGTCATTTTAGTTGGCGACGACTGGGTTTGCGTCTGTGTTGTCGGCGTTATGGATTCATCCGCTGTTAAACTGCTCGTGTCCAGCGAGGTATTGCTCTCCAGTTGCAGCAAAAGTTTCTCCTGCTGCGCCTTTAAATCTTCTATCGATGGGGACTGCGAACGTTCTTCCCCTTCCTCTTCTGCTGGCGGCGGTGGTGGTGGAGGAGGTAGACATTTGCCAGTTGGCTCCGTTACTGGTAGTGGAGGATGGCCTGTTTCCTCTGCTTCCTCCTCCACATCCATGTCATACTCGACGAAGTTGGTTTGTGCGGTCGTAGTCGGACTCTCGTCATGCGGCGCTGGCAGATCCAGGAGCTTCTTCCGTCTGTAGCCTTTGCTTACTCTCTCCCCCAGAGATCTTATAAATTTTTCCTTTAGCTGGCTCTTTTGAAAGGGCGGCACATTGTGATGCCTAAAGTCCTGTAAGACAGAGAGTTGTCGCTGGTTAGCTAGAATTCACTTTTAGATCTCCCTGGAGTATATTTACATCGAAGAACTTAGCACCGGGTTCCACATTGAATCCTGGGAACTCGACAATTTTGTTAAGATCGTATTTGAAGGCATTCGATACACCTTCTTCGTCATCTGATTGCGTCACCTCTGTGCCCTGTGGATGAGAGCATTTAAACTAGAATCTTTGATCTTTGTCTGGCCTAAAGTGTACTCACATCTGCATTGAAGATAGCAATGCCTGAGCTTTGCATCTTAGCATCTTCCAACCATGCTGGCGGATATCCCATTACACGAAGGCGATAAAACATGAACGGCAGCTCGTTGCGATTGTAGCCCATGGCATGGCGGGTCTTGGTGCTGATTTTTCCGGGTCGAAGGTGTCCAAACTTTTGCTCAAAGTCCACATGGTAGCGCTCCATGCGATGGCTGATCTTCTTTCGTGCCCGTTGAATCCTCACATTGTTCCTCGGCTGTAGGCACTCACGCAGGGAGTGGCCCGCTTCGCCGCAGTTGAAGCAGGACGACTGATTCTTGGGACGGATGCACTTGTTCACCGCCTCGGCCTTTAGTTTCTTTCGTGCTTCAGTTTCCTCGTCGAGTACATCTGTATTGGAGCGCCTATAAGAGGGTACCTGCGACACCTGCAGCTTGGGAGCCGGCGATGTGTCAATCATAAAGAGGTCTGCTGTGTTCGGGTCAGGTGTTGTAGGGGATTGCGGCTGCATCTCGCCTGCGTCGTATGCGCCTATTACTAGCTCCGTTTCGTTTGTTCTGTAATCTAGGTGACGGCCCGCAAATGCTTCCCCCAAGACATCCAACATTTTGTTGTGTAGATCGTCAAAGTATTCTTTGTTGTGGAACTTAACTTCAAACACCAAACTTTGGGTGGGCTCCTGGAAGAGAAAGTGCGTCACAGTATGCCATAATATTCAATAAACAGAAATTTCTACCTGAGTTCCGAGACTGGGACTAACTTCGCTAGTCGGCAATATTTCGGTGGTGCAGCTTGTGTCTGCCGCCGCTTCCACGACCATAATTTCCGAATCGTCCAACTCGCCATCTTCCACGCCGTCTTCTATGATTTCCAGGCTGGGCTGCGTGTCGTCGAGCACTATAACACTGTCGTCCATTTTTTTAAACCTTGTGAATTGTAAATCTGTTAACTATTTTTAACAATTTTAATTTTTGTTTGTAAAATAATAAGTGGGCCTCGAAAATATACCGAAATATACTTTTTCATTTTCAAAATATACCGTAAAATATACCGTGAATCTAAAATCATTTTCTTCGATTTTGATGTTCAGTTTAATATTACCAGCTGGTTAGGCTACTCAGCTTTAAAAATGTAATTTTACTCAAATCATCATTCAATTCTCCGCAGGATTTGCTGATTTTATGATACATCCTTCCTCAATTGATTGCATAATAAGGTTACAACTAAAAAGGTCAACCAAAAAAATATATTTGCTATACTTAATGATATCTGTAAATCCATTTAATCAACTCTTTTTAATAAAAGTTTCATAAATTTCTTAGTTTGCACTTAAACACCCATTGGTCAACAGAAGGATGTTTGAAAACATCGATATCATCGATTGTCTACGATATATTGGAACTTTTCAGCTCCGCAACTGTGGTGTTGAGAAGCGGATATGATCTGCAAATTCCATTTTACATTACACATATAGCTGTGTAGTTACCATGTATCAGGTTTCGTTACATTTTTCGAAATTTTTCGTTCATTACTTTAAGTTTATATAATATAGAACAATAATAAAAAAGTACATCCCACAAAATGATCACCTTTAAAATACGCTTTATTGCGCCTGGCACTATGTACAAAGATAAGGAAAACAATATAACAATTATTAAGATGAATATTATACATAAAACAAAATTGCTTACAAAACTAAAACGCGACTCTGTGTGCCAGAGCAGCAGGAATGATTTGAAAGTCTCAATGACTAAGTGTTACAAGTTACGACGAGAGTATGATGATTCTAAAAAGAATTGACCCGAAACTAAAACAACAACGAATACAATTGACAGCCAATGCGTTTGCATACATTCGATACCATATAGGCGCCAGCCGAGATGGTCACAAACAGCGTCAGCCAGCCCAGAAATGTGAACTCCCCCGAGCGAGGACGTATGTGCTGCTGCAGTCCGAGCCAGCCGCCATTGTCTATCAGCCAGTACACCAGATCGTCCTCAATGATCTCGGCCAGTCCATCCACCAGGCACTGCAAGTAGTCGTAGTGGCCCTGGCGCACGCAGTCGATGGCAAACCCACCGCAGACTGAAAATATTGAGATGATCTTGCCCCAGGTAATGCTCGACCGGAAGAGATCCTTGGCCACCAAATTAAGCAGCATGGGCGCCATATCACTGTCCTCCAGCTCGCCAAACGGAGCTCTCGACAGCTGCCTGGATATGTTTGCATAGACACGCGGGTGCATGCGTTCCAGTTCCTCGCCCATCTGTAGATAAATTAATAAAAAATTGGGATACATGGGAATGCATGGGCCTGCTAATACTCACGCTATTGAGGGCCGGAAACACTTCGTAGACCACATGGGAAGAAGGTTCCAGTATGTTTCGCAGTCTTTGTATCACCTTCCGATTGAGAACTCCAGCCCGTCGTAGCCGCGCTCTGATGTACTGCCCACACAGGCACTTGCCCTGCAACATTCGAAAGCAAATGCCAAAAGTTCAATCAAAATCAAATCAATTCTCTGCCTTTGATCACGATCAATTGATTGCGTTAGCCCATCTTGTTGAGGCAATTCTTTCGGTGCCTCCAATCATTTCTACTTTGCTACAATTTACAGGGAAATATGCGGGATTGGTTCCTTCTGGCTTTCGCATCTCATTGCCCCCTGGCCGATTGTCGAGCGAGCGACACCTGTTCAATTTCATTCTCACCTCTTGCAGAGTCAGTCAACTGCAGGCGATTTGCGGCGGAATACAGAGCAACAGAGCAGTACGGAGAGGTGATAATAAACAATGATAAATGGTTTAAACAAAAGAGAGAGAAAAAAGAATACAATCAGCACGTGCAGTGGGAAGAGAGTGCCGCTAAGGCCGCCGGCTAAATGGAAGCAAATCGACAGCTACTTATTATCTCTTACAGCAACGGATACAAGCTCGAATATTTTCAGCAATTAAGAGTCCCCCGCCCTCACAGAGCACTACAATAGAGTAGAGGCATGTGCTCTGCTCTATAATTCAAATCAATTTAGTAATGGCACAATGTCACGGCGATCGCTATTGTCTGCGGCGGCTCTCGTTCAATTTCTGTCGCACAATTACCATTTGTCACGCCAACGGCTTACGAATTGATTTCTTTGGCGCCAACTTGACTCGTGGCATGGCCAGACCCAAAGAGATCGCACACATTCAGAGTGCTCGACCTTGTGGCCGCTTGACAAGTCCAATGAGAGGGGCACTCCTCAATGGTACAGCCTGTGCCAGCATCCCCACAGGTTAATCACCCACTCAACTGCCCCACTAATAAATCCATCAGCTTGTTTACGAGATCTTTTCATGGCGCTTCACCTGTGCGTTTAACCATCAGCACCATCAAGCAGCCAAATAACATAAAAATCGGCTGACTTCAGTTGGGTTCGATGAATTCCCATTGCTGTGGGGGATTTCGGGTGATATGTTATGTATTCGAAGTTTATTTTTGGAATACCCGTTTAATGCTTCCTTCCATTGTGTGAGCATCTGGGCTTTTAGGAAATCAAACCCAAATTGTTTACACTTCCCTGTGGGCCCCCTTTGTGTTGTCGACGAGGAAACCCTAAACCTAGATCTATCCATCAACTGCACTTCTTGAGCAGGCGCCGGCAGTCTGGCTAAACATCCTCATCAGAAATGCCCCAACAAACTATCAGCCAAAGGCAAATAAATAAATAATTTACATTTCAGTCTGTCCATCTGTGGCTAGGTTGCATTAGATCATATTTTATCAGTCGCGGAGTGGGAGATAAAACTATTTACGAGTGCGGCGTTATCAATTAAACCAAGACAGCGTCGGACCCACAAAGGTGAGGGAATGAGGACACCGAAATGAGGTAATTTGGCAAACATTTTGGCAGTGCAAATACAAAAACATTTGTTTGCATTTCTATTGTCTTCAATGTTTGTAAATTAATTTCAAAACATCAGCCCCAGAGAGACACATCCACGAAGTACTGCCAATTGTTTGAACAGCTTCTGGCTCGAGTCTTGAATTTCAGCTTTTGTTGCTCACCTGATTAATAATTTCCATTTTGTACTCCTGATAGTTTGTCATGGTGCGTGTGCTGCTGGCTAGTGATGATGTGGAGGCGGCGCGGGTCATCGAGGGGAGACCCGGTGCAAGGCCGAGTCCGATGCCGTGCCCGCCCCCTGCATGGAGAGATCTGCCGTTGGAGGGGCTGCTGCGCAGAGCCTTCCAATCACTGGCCGCCGTGGCAATGGTGCCGCGTCGATTCGCCGAGTAGATCTCATGGTCCAGCGAGGAGGACTTGAACTTGGCCAGCTTCGGGGCGGCTGAGCTTGGACTGGTCGTGGGGGCCATGGTCGATGGCATCTAGTGCACGCGGGCGATGCTTGGCTGCCTCTCGACAATGCACTGACTTCGGGCTTCGGGTTTTGGTCTATTGTTGCAGCTGATGCTAATGCTGCTTTTGATGCTGTTGCTACTGCTGTTCCAGTCTATGCCTCTCCTGTTGTTGTCGTCTCTGCTGCTGCTTCATGTAAGTTGTGTAATTTGGAAATTGTAGATTCTACGAGTCGGTCGGACGTCTCTCGCCTTGCATGCAGCCCCCAAGCTCGGCTCTCGTTTTGCACTTTTTTGGAGGTGGTCTGGATCGAGAGCTCTGATAAAACGACGAAACAAAATAAAAGTCGGCAATAAAGTGGAGCCCAAAGCGGAGAGCAGCAAACACGAATGAGACACGCAGAGGAAAACAACTAAAAAACTTGTTGTTGGTGGGGTTCGATTTCGATCCCCATCGATTTTCAGCTGTCTTTGCTTTGACTTTGCCTGCCGCTGCTCCACTGCGTGCGCGTGCTGTTTTTTTATTCGCTTTTGTTTTATTTTTCTCTTTGCTTCTTGTCTCACATTAATTTGAACTTTTAACCGAGAAATCTACGAAAATGTTTAGAAAATGTAAAACGATCGCCAATACATGTATCGATGTGTAGAATCAACTTTTGCGATATTTCTAGCTATTACTAATCGATGCTTTTGTGCGATTCATGCAACTTGTTTGCATGTTTTCCAAGCAAATGGAAGACATAATGATAGAAAAACTAATCAAATAATACAATTATGCTTAAAAAGTAAAAGTAATGAAAACTGCACTACTCGCTTAACTGTACTGCACTACTGTTAAATTCCACCAAACCTTTAAAATGATCGCGGCTATCGATATCACTTTGGCCATTCACAGGAAAAGTAGACACACGCTGGCGCCAGTTTTAAAGAATCTGTTTTATCTGCTATTAAAAACAAACACTCGGCATTCAAGCAAAGAGTATAAAAGCACTCGCAAACAATGCTTCGCATGGTGATTATCTAAAAACGTGATCAAAGTGGGACCACCACCAGAGAAGCATAATCTTAATTACCAACAAACGGATGTCCATATTTATGCCAGGCCTATGCTGAGAGCTCAGTAACTAACCACCGGCCCCCACTCGATACGCGGCCCGACCGCCACCCAATCTAATCTATTATCAGAGCCATAACAATTACTTGGCTTCCTCACACCTAATCGCCGAGTGCACGACCCAAGTAAATCAGCTTTCAATGGGCTTCGCTCGCTCGTCCCATACATTGTAATGCCCAACATTGTCTTCACACATAATTGACTCTAATTAATTACTTCCCGATCGATTCTGATGAAACAACCGGACTGGCTTGCACGCAAAACACACTCACACACACACATAGATGCACAGATCTTTGGTCATATGAGCAAACTGATAATTAAAAGCTCACAAAATGGGCTGATAAACCTAATTGACACAGTGACTCCTCCATGGCTACAGCGGCTGGCGAGGGTTAGGCATGTCATGTCTTCTCCCAAATCTCAATCGATGGATCGACGGATGGATGTGCCTTATCAGAAAGGTTTTCTGTTTGCTCGTGCGTAATCTCGGCACATCAGCCAGATGTTCACAGGCCGGACGGCAGATTCCAGTGACTTATAGAAACACCGATCCGCTGCTGAACGTAGACGTCGTTGTTATGTCATTAACAACAGCGACGCGACTAATAGCTAGAACAGCAAGGGGTCGCCTTGCGCAATGCCCTGTAGCTGCTGCGGAGCGTACTCCGAGTGTCTCCCAATAGTTTCCCTCTATCAGCATCAGCATCGAGCCAGAGCCAGAGCCAGAGCCAGAGCAGACACAAAATCGAACAACATGAATCGCTGGCAGTGTGCTGGGCAGCTCTTTACTACTCGTATCTGTGGCAGCTCGAGCCCCTCGTTTAGTCAGTCGTTGCTTAGACACGGAGGCAGACGAGACGTACTCTGCTGGACATAAACCAAAAACCCCTTGGGGAAGAGACACTCTTTAGCTGCTTGACAAAATGAACAAAAACCCGATGGGCCAAAAACGTCGCGTTTGTGTAATAGGAGGTAAGAGAGATAAGGCTCCAAGTGTGGCTAGTTTGTGGCACAATTTCGCTCCAATTGCAGCCGGCACCGCGGGCCTGTGCGCGCTGAAGAACTCCCTGGAGTCGGGCATGGATGCGGTGGCCTACGAGCGTGGCACAGAGATTGGCGGCACATGGATATTCTCCGAGGATATGCCAGAGAATGATTACGATGAGGTGCACAGCAGCATGTACGATGGATTGCGGTAGGTTCTACGGATAAAAGACTCTCGGACAGAATGCCCAATGAACTGCCTTTTCTAGTACAAACCTGCCGAAGGAAGTAATGGGATATCCAGACTATGCATACGACAACGACATCGAGGACTCGTTCATAACATCCCATGAGGTCTTGAACTTTCTGCGCTCGTATGCGGAACACTTCAAGCTGGGCCCCCACATTAAGCTGCAGCACGAAGTGATAAGAGTGCGACCTCGTTTGGATGATTGGGAGGTTGGTGCCGCCGTCACATTGCACTCTGAATTGTTTTCGCTTTTCCCAATGCTGCTTCGCTGATACTAAATACTTCGGGGACTTTCCTGTTTACTCTCTATGACAGGTGTATGTCTGGGATCACACCACAAACACTTGCGATCCAGTCTACTACGACTTTGTCTATGTCTGCAATGGCCACTACACGGAGCCCGATGTGCCCGAGGTTGAGGGTGCGGATCTGTACGAGGGCAAGCTGATGCACAGCCACCTGTATCGGAGGGCGGACAAGTTTAGGGGTAAGCAAGAGTAAGGCTCAATGGGAAGATAACTTTATTTGCGCCTCCCAATGGCGCTTTGCCCATAAATAATACGAGACGGGTCGCAGATAATGCTGGGCGCGACTCCTCTCACTGTTGTGTTGCTTTGTTGACGGAATCGCCAGCACAATCTTCACAGCCACAGACACAGCCACAGACACAGCCACAGCCACAGTCCGTTGTCAAGTGTGTGACATAATGAGTGTTTGGGTTGCTCTGTGGTTAGTACCCGCCGATGCACGTGTTTCTTTAGTGGATGCGGCTGATACGGCAGGGCTGAGACTGCTATCATCTATTTAATGTTGGATTCTCGCTTGCATCTTTACAGATGAAAATGTTCTAATCATTGGCGCTGGTCCCAGTGGCATGGATATCACGAATCACGTGCGCAGGGAAGCCAAACATGTGTACTTGAGCCACCACTTGGCCACCGCCCCGAACACAGCGTTCATGGGAAATGTAACGCAGAAACCGGATGTGGAGCGATTGACCAAGAACGGGGCCGTCTTCAAGGATGGCAGCAGCGAGAGCTTCGATCATGTATTGTTCTGCACCGGCTACAAGTACACTTTCCCCTGCCTCAGCACGGACGTGGGCATCCAGGTGATAGATAACTTTGTGCAGCCACTGTGGAAGCACTGCATCAACATTAACAATCCAACGATGGCGTTCATCGGGCTGCTCTTCAATGTGATACCCACGCACATCTTCGACATGCAAGTCCGCTTCACGCTCGCATTCTTCACGGGCCAGCGCGAGATGCCGCCGCGCGAGCAAATGATCGCCGAGCTGGAGAAGGAGATTGGCCAGCGGTGGGACTGTGGCTTCTACAATCGCAAGAAGGCACATCAAATGGGAGAGCGACAGGTGACACATCCCGACATCCTTCCTCCTGCACTTCACTGATTCGTTTTTCTCTTCGATTTTCAGTTTGATTACTACAACGAGCTGGCTCGCATGGCGGGCATTGATAACATTAAGCCTGTTATCCTTAAATTGATGAAGGATTGTGGCAAGAAGTACATCTTCGAATTGGACACATACCGCAGCAATCGCTACACCATCGTGGATGATGAGAACTTCTTGAAGAACGGCAAAATGGCAAATTAAGCTTGTGGCTTGTCCCTCTTGTCCCCTACTTGTAGTGTATGTGTAGTTAAATATTGTCTAAATAACTCAATAAATCGTGAATGCTCTAACAAGAACACGCTGAACATTCCCAAATCAATTTCAAATTTCGATTTTGCGACAAATTTCCGATACAACTAACTCACCAATCAGCTCGCGGAACTAGTTCTCTAGCTTAGAAGTTTTCAAAGCTCCTACTTCCTTCTTCAACCAAATGTGGCTCTGTTAATAGTTTACATACATTTACGAACTGAAGACAAATAGCAACAAAAAAATAAAATACTGAAAAATCCACCCAGTTCAGTCCAGTTACTTTGAAATAGAATTTAAATTTTAAAAGTATCAACAGGTCATAAGCCAAAAACGAAACTTAAAACCAAAATGTAAGTTACACTGCGTTAATAAACAAATGAAATAAGTGTAAATAATGGTAAAAAATTGGTGAGTCAGATGTAATAAATATGTAGCTGTGTTATGTCTTCCCTGTATCACCTCACAGATGAAGGCAACTTCATTTAAAGTTCCACTGACGCATATACATTATACATATTATTTACATAATATCTGATATTCATAGTTTGAACTTAATTTGTTAAAATCTGTGTTCTGTGTGGCTTCATTTGATCTAAAACTATTCTTCTTACAAACCAACAAAATAATCTTCATTCATGTTTAAAATGACGCGCGCGATTATTTTTGCATGTGTGTGAGTGTGTTTTCTGCTAAGTTTGTAGAAAATGTGTAGTAGTAATGTCAAAAGGTCATAAAGTATACAATCCAATGAAAAGGAGTATTTTCAATAAGCCAAATTGATTCTTCAAACGGATTAAATTATTGTTTCAGTGGATAAAGTCTTAGCAAGCTAGTTATATCAAATATAACATCAACATCGAGGAAAATGTTTTAAGACTACGGTATTTGTACGGTATATTTTGAAAATGCTAGGGTCTGTCGGTATATTTGATCGATAATCGATAATTCCGTGGTCCGCGTCGCGTTGTAATTTTTTTTAATAAGCTAATTTAAGTGGCAAGTTTGCGTGTCTTATTATTTTAAACAATGTATTAAGTGTTACTTGTCTGTTACGAGTAGCTGAACATGACCTCAAGCATCGATAGTGTGCGCGTTCTGCTGCAGTCGCTGCCTGCAGCGGCCGCCTTGGGTGGCAGCAACAACAACGCCCAGCAAATCGCCGATCAGCAGTCACCGGCAAAGGGGCTCGGAATACAAGCAACAACAACGCCTTTGCGCGCCAGAAATCCATACCAACAGCAGGCACAGACCCCGGCACCCTTCACGCCAGAAAAAGCTGCAGAGAAACCTGCATCGGCGCCCGAGGAATTCTGGCGCGATCTGCAGCAGTTCCACGAGAGACGCGGGTAAGCAGGAGCGGAAAATATTGATTCTGCTTCGATCAAACAATCTCTGAACTGATCTTTAATGATTTCGCAGCACTCCATTGACCCAAGCGGCCAAGATAAGTGGCAAACATGTGGACTTGTATAAACTCTACACAGAGGTCACCGAACGGGGCGGCTTCAACAAGGTGAACATGCGGGACGAGTGGGACGAGGTGTACAGTGCCATGGAGACGCTGAGAGAGCGCTGTGTCAATGGTACGGCGGGCATCAAGCACATCTACCGGCGGTACCTGGACAAGTACGAGCGCCTCAACTTCTTTGGCGAGGATCCAGACAAAATGGAGGCTCTGGAGGCGGCCATTGAGAATGCTGAAATGGGCAGCGGACGTGCGCGATCCCGTGCATTGGCTGGGGGCGGCGGCGGACTGGGCAGTATGTTTGGATCCGCTCACTCCACACTGCCAGCGGTGCCCATGTCCTACAATCAGCGTCAGCACATCATCAACGCGGACCGACGGCGGCAGTACAAGATGTCCACACAGCTGCACAAGCACAGCAACTACGAGAAGCTGCTGCTGTCGCTGCTCTCGCCGCTGCCCAACGAGCAGGACTTTGCCATCAATGTCTGCACCCTGATGGCCAACGAGGTGCGGCATACTCTCAAGCTGTCCGAGTGCCCCAAGCTGCTGGACGTGCTGCTGGCCCATCTGGGCGTCTACGCGGACTACACCATGCGCAAGCTGTTCCAGCACAGCTACACCGAGGTGCGCCATCACTCGCAGCACAACTTCTGGCGCGATTTGCTCTACGACAAGCCGCAGGTGCTCGAGCTCTACACCGACGAGCAGGCCTGGCTGGACAATGGCCTCATCAGCAAGGAGGACAATGACGAGCAGGAGAACACCACTGCTCGCAGCGAGCTGCTGGCGGCCTGCGATGAGCTGGACTTTTTGAATCTGCGCCGTAGCAATGGCACAGACGAGCGCATGGGCCAGCGCGTACTCCAGATTGTGCAGCTCGTGCGGGCGCTCAGTTTCCACCAAGAGAATCAAATATTGCTGGGCTCTAATCGCACGCTCTGGCGGTATCTGGTCATGGGCGCCAACGTGCGCTGGAGTAAGTAGTTGCTGCCCAGAAACACCAACACCCACTTAACCACGATCCTTTTACGCAGGCAACATTCACATCCAAGCGCTGGAGACGGCCGGCAATCTGGCGGATCAGTTTGAGCTGCAGGACCCCACCACGGACGAGCTGTCGCGGAATCTGCTGGCCACACTCTGCGAGGGCATCGACTCCAACGACCGCGCTGTCATCATCAGCTGCCTCGAGATCATCTACAAGCTGTGCGGCAGGGAGGGCAACTCCCAGTACATCAATCGCTGCCTGGGCCTGGACTTCTATCAGCGTGCCATGCTGCTGCTCTCGCTGACGGATGTCATGCTGCTCATCTTCACCCTGGAGGCAATGTATGCCCTCAGCTCGCTCGGCGCCCGTCCCTGCTCGCTGCTGATGCAAGTGCGTGGATTGGTTGACCAACTGGTGGCTCTGATATCCGTCGAGGCGCAGACCTATGGAGCTGACGGTTGCATTTTGATGCGCGTCGTGGAGATGGTGCCGGGGAATCTGCTTAATTCCCTGACCACAAATACCGCGGCTGCCACGGCTGCTGCTCCAACCGCCCAAGTGGTCGTCAAGCCGCCACCCGCTCTGCCCATACCGACGCCCGCCCAGACACAGGTCCTGCAATCGCAGACAGAGCAGCATGTTGTGGCCATGCCTGTGCCTGCTCCTGCGCCGGTTGTTCCGTCTCTTCCCGTGCCCAGCCTGCCGCAGGTGCAGCTGCCTCCGTCGCTGCCAGTGCCCAGTCTGCCGCAGGTTATCCTGCCGCCGGGCGTCGTCTCCATGGTGTCTCTTCCAGCACCACCCTCCGCGCCGCAGAGCTTCACCCACGACGACGAGCAGTACGCTCTGGCCTGGCTGGGGGCCACCTACGAGCGGGCTGGCGCTGGCCACGAGTTTCGTCTGGAGCAGCAGGAGCTGTACAGGATCTACCTGTCGCACTGCCAGAAGGCGGGCAAGCTGTCGGTGGTCAATCACATGCAGTTTCCTCGCCTCGTGCGCCTCATCTTTAACCAGACCGTGGGGCCTGTCATCGTGCGCCACTTGGACGGCACAGAGCTGCCGGGCACCTACTACGTTGGCATCCGAACGCGCGCCCAGCCATTGGCCATGCACCAGCAGAAGCCCAATCCAAACGCAATTCCCGTCAAGAAGGAAACTCTCATCCTGCCCAAGCCGCAGGCGGAACCAACGGAAGCAGTCGAGGAGCCGCCGGCACCTCCCACGCCGACGCCACCGCCGCCGACCAGCTCCTCTTTGATCAAGAGTCTCCTGGCCAACAAGGTGACCGAGCGGCAGCAGAAGCAAAAGGCGCAGGTGCTCTCCCAATCGCCCCAGCCACCGGCCCTGGTGCCCACCACAGCCTCCGCATCGAACGCGCCCTCCAACCAGCCCATCAAGGTCACATCGACGGCCATCAGCGCCTTTGTGAACAATCCGCTGATGCAGCACACGCCGGTGAAGGTGGGACAGACCACGATAAAGCCACTGCACCCTCAGATGGCACTGGAGAAGAAGCCAATCACGGACTCTGCTCCACCCCCACTGGCACCGCTGAGTGGTGCAAATGTTGTGACCAAGGACGCCAGCGGACGCACCCTCATAATCTCAGCAGCCACCAAACGGAAGCTGACCATTGACGATGAGCAGAACAAGCGCCTGGCCATGGAGAACGCCAGCGCCTCGGGCAAGGAGGAGACCCAGGTGACGCCCTCGAAGAATGCCGCCAACTTGTATGCGGATCTGGCTGCCTCCATACTGGAGGATGAGGACTTGGACGATGTTCCGCCACTGGCCAAGCCAAGCCAGGAGCAGCCACAGCAGCATCAACAACAGCAACAACTGCAGCTCATTCCGGCCAAGGTGCAGTCCACGCAACGCCAGTTGGTGTTCCCCTGTGGCTCCTCTCCCGCACCACCGCCGCAGCTCAAGCTGGCCACCACGGCCACGATCAAGACGGATCAGGGACTGCAGACGGTGCCAGTGATTCTGCAGCCAAAAACCTCGATGGATGCCTCACAGCAGGCGCAGCAGACGACGCAGTACGTCCTCGCCACGAATCAACAGGGCCAGACCTACCTGGTGGCCCAGCAGACACAGCCCGCCGTTCAGCCAACCTCCCAGTCGGCACCGCCCACGCTGCTGGTCACACAGACGCCCCAGCAGCAGACAAAGACCATCATCATACTGCAGCAGCAGCCGAGCGGAGTGTCCGCAGCCAGTGTGCCCGGCACACAGAAGATGATCATGACCACGGCGCAGGGCCAGCAGGTTCTGGTCACCACTACCACAGCCCCACAGCAGCAGCAGACACGCCCCGCCAGCCAACACCCACAGCAGCAGATATTCATCACGCCCCAGAGGCCAGTTCAAACACTGGGCGCCGGGCAGATGTCGCCATCGCTGCTCTCGCAGCTGAACCAGATTCCGGCAACCATCAAGCTGCATCAGCCACAACCGCAGCTTGCATCCCCGCAGGTCACGGCACAGCAGCGTCTGGCTGCAGCCAAAGCGGGGGCCACATTGCCCATCCCACAGCTGCAGCAGCACCAATCGATCATTCAGCAGCACATCATCTCGGGCCCACCCACGCCAATGGCTGTCACCGGAGCTGCAGCCGTTGCTGCGCCTGGAGAGAAGCGGCAGCTAGTTCTTAGTGGCATCAAGGAGACAACTCTCATCACCCAAACACCAGCCACAGCAGCGCCTCTGCAGCAGAGTCAGCTCAACTCGCAGACGATCATCACCACACAGCCGCCGACGGCCACAGCGATTGCGGGTCTGCAGCAGCAACAGCAGCACATTCGCACGGTCCTAGAGCAGCAGCAGCAGCATCATCCATCCATCATTCAGCAAAAGATCACCATGCCTGTTGTGAGTGTCCAGCCAGAATAAGGATATTGAATCCCCTTCTAATCTTAACTCTATCTCCTTTCAGCTCCCAGAGGCAGCTAAGCCCGTGCCTGGCGGAGTCATAACCAAGAAGCCATTGCAGCCATTGCAGCCACAGCTTGTGGCCGCACTGAAGCCGACGCTCTCACAGATTGTGATGACTACCAGCGAATCCACATCGTCAGCGGCTGGCAAGCCGATTGCCGTGCTGGCTGAATCCAAGGCTGCAGAGCACACGCAGGCGGCTGCTTTAGCCTCCACGGCCGCAAGCAGCAGCACCACCTCTGTGGTGATTAGCCAGGTGCAGACGGCACCTCTGTACGCCACTCCGTCTGCGACAGGAGCTCCCATCGCTGCGGCCACTGCCGTTGCCAGTGCTTCGCCTGTGCCTGTGGACGTGAATTGGCTGTACATCTGCGACTGGCGCAACTGCCCGCGTCGCAAGTTCAAATCGTTGAACGACCTCAAGTATCATGTGGTCAATGTCCACTGTCCGGACCATCTGGACGCCGATGCCGACATCTATTGCCAGTGGGGCAGTGGTCCCGCCTTCTGCGACAACAGGGCTCGTAGGCGCTACTCCCTGATGACCCATCTCATTGATCGCCATCTGACGACGGAAAATCTACGCGCCGGCGTGCAGCGTCGCCTGGCCACGGGCATACACAATGTGGCGCCTGCCCAGCCGCCCGTCACCATTGTGCGGAACGAGGGACATGCCCAGAGGCTGGCGGGAAACGCCAGCGGCAGTGCACCGCCTCCAGCGCCCGCAGCCGTTGTGGGCAGTGCGGCGATGCAGGCCATGAATCGGCACACAACGGACTACACCAACTCCAAGGAGCTGATGGACGAGAACGAGGGGCCCGTCACCAAGAGCATTCGCCTGACGGCGGCGCTAATTCTGCGCAATCTCGTGACCAACACGTCGACGGCGAAGCGCAGTCTGAAGCGCTACGAGCCCCATCTGGCCAATGTGGCAATGAGCAACGTGGAGGCCAGCGCTGTGCTGTCCCACATCATGTACGAGCTGAGCCAGTAGGAGCTGCCTGCGCCCATATATATCCTACACACATATATATATAACTGTATTTTTGTACCATTCTCCCAAATGCCCGCTTCTACATATTAACTAATAACCTGACCTGTACACCTAACGACACAATTAAATGTGAAAAACCAACCCGGAAAACCGATTCATCCATTTGAACCGTTTAATGCTTTCATTTTCTGTTGACCTTTTCAGTTTGAACCTAATTTTAGGAACAATCCGAAAAAAGAAAGTCAAGAAAATTAGACAACCTTGTGGAGAATAGATGGATGAATTGGATAAAATTATTGTTTAAGCTCTGAGATTCCTAAAAATCTATTATTATTAAACAGAACATCAAAATCGAGAAGAATGATTTAACATTTGCGGTATATTTAAAAAATGTAAAGGTATTTTCAGTGTCGTGCGGTATTTTGATCGATACATCAGCTAGAAAACACGTTCGACGTAACACATATTTAAGCAACAAAGTACAAAATATATTATTTTATTTTAAATTGGGCCACAAAATGTCTGTGCGAGCAATTGGAATACTAGCTCAGGCGCGTCATTTCTGCCGCCTGGGTGGTGTGCTGAGGCAAAGCAATCGATATGCAGTTGGAGCCTTGAATGTGGCACTGGGAACGCAGCGATCGCCGGCCGGTAAGTCGTCTTCACTGCCTCCGTTTCGGTCAAGGGCCACCCGTTTTTTACATAACTCTGGGCCATGCTTTTAGATCTGTCCTGCCGCCGCTTTGCCACGGAGACCAAGCAGGCAGATGCCTCCGTGGACAAGCACGAGTTCCAGGCGGAGACTCGCCAGCTTTTGGATATTGTGGCGCGTTCCCTTTACTCGGATCAGGAGGTTTTCGTACGCGAGTTGATCTCGAATGCCAGCGACGCACTGGAGAAGTTCCGCTACACTGCACTGAGCACTGGCGAGGCCGAGCTGTCCGGCAAGGATAGACCCCTGGAGATACGCATCACCACCGACAAGCCGCAGATGCAGCTGATCATCCAGGACACGGGCATTGGCATGACCAAGGAGGAGCTTATCAGCAACCTGGGCACCATCGCCCGCAGCGGCTCGAAGCAGTTCCTGGAACAGATGAAGAACGAGAAGCAGGCGTCCGATGCAATTTCCAACATCATTGGACAGTTCGGTGTCGGCTTCTACTCGGCCTTCATTGTGGCACAGCGCGTGGAGGTGTACACACGGGCAGCCACGCCCAATGCTCCCGGTCTGCGCTGGTCGACTGACGGCAGTGGCACCTACCAGATCGAGGAGGTCCAGGACGTGGACCTTGGCACGAAGATAGTGCTGCACCTGAAGACCGAGTGCCGTGAGTATGCTGACGAAGACCGCATCCGCACCGTCATCAAGAAGTACAGCAACTTTGTGGGCTCTCCCATACTGCTGAACGGCAAGCAGGCCAACGAAATCAAGCCTCTGTGGCTGCTGGATCCCCAGAGCATCAGCATGGAGCAGCATCACGACTTCTACCGCTTCATCAGCAACAGCTTCGATGTTCCCCGTTTCACACTGCACTACAACGCCGATGTGCCCCTTTTGATTCACGCCCTGCTCTACTTCCCCGAGGGCAAGCCCGGACTGTTCGAGATGTCTCGCGATGGCAACACGGGAGTGGCTCTGTACACCCGGAAGGTGCTCATCCAGTCCAAGACCGAGCACCTGCTGCCCAAGTGGCTGCGGTTCGTGAAGGGCGTCGTCGATTCCGAGGATATTCCCCTCAATCTGAGTCGCGAACTCCTCCAGAACAGTGCCATCATTCGCAAGCTGTCTAGTGTGTTGACCTCACGCGTCATTCGTTTCCTGCAGGAGCGCGCCAAGAAGCAGCCGGAGGAGTACGAGAACTTCTACCGTGATTATGGTCTGTTCTTGAAGGAAGGCATCGTGACTTCCAGCGACTCGGCAGAAAAGGAGGAAATAGCCAAACTTCTCCGATTTGACTCCTCAAAGGCGGATGGTGCTGAAGGACGCATGTCCCTGGAGGACTACTACACCTCTGTCGGACTTGAGCAGAAAAACATTTACTATCTGGCGGCGCCGAACCGTGTCCTTGCCGAGTCCTCGCCCTACTACGAGAGCCTGAAAAAGCGCAACGAACTTGTCCTCTTCTGCTACGAACCGTACGATGAGCTCGTGCTCATGCAGCTGGGAAAGTACAAGCAGAAGAATCTGGTCTCGGTGGAGAAGGAGATGCGGGAGGATTCCAAGGATCCCAGTGCAGCCACTGACTACGGCGAGGGCAGCCTGCTGCGCTCAGAACTAGACAGCTTGATACCCTGGATTCAGGACGAACTACAGGGCCAAGTGGTGAAGGTGAAAGCCACCAGCCGCCTGGACACACATCCCTGCGTTGTCACCGTGGAAGAAATGGCTGCCGCGCGTCACTTTATCCGCACCCAGAGCCACCAGGTGCCGGAGGCGAACCGCTTTGCCCTGCTGCAGCCGGAGCTAGAGATTAATCCAAAGTGAGTTTCACTCTGTTTTGGGTTGGACCCCTCCTAATCCCTCTGTTTCCGCTTTTCAGACATCCCATCATCAAGAAGCTGGACAAGCTGCGCGTTAGTGACACTGAGCTGGCCAAGTTGATTACCAAGCAGTTGTTTGCCAATGCCATGGTCGGAGCCGGACTAGCGGAGGATCCTCGCATGCTGTTGACCAACATGAACGAGCTGCTCACAAAAGCGCTGGATAAATACTAAGTTAGGCAGCTAAATCCCCAAATGTAAATCTAGACACACTCTACAATATTGATTAATTAATTAAATAATAACAATTAGCTTCGAATATAATTTGAAAATACATATAATTTTTAAAACTGTTTTTCGCGATAATGGAAACCGTTTCCGGTATATTATTTTGCACCGGATTTTAGCTGAGGTATATCAGTATTTAATGGCATGTTGCATACTTTTTTGGTATATTCCTAAGGGTTCAAACAGTATTTTTGATCGCATAATCCGCTGTCACACTATTAACCACCAATCCGCCCCCGTGACTAAAGTTTATAAAAGCCAAGAAAAATATCTCGTTGGAGTTCAGTGCCGTTATCCGCAACAAAGCGTTAGTCGCCAAGCAGCCAGCAGCAACCCGAAAGAGGCCAGCCACAGAGCAGCACATTGCTTTTAATTAGATTTCTAATCACGTGAGTGTGAACAAACAAACCAACGACCAAAGGGTCATGTGAGGCCCGAAAACTAAGAAAAGTTCATCTAATCTACATTGCTCCTGCGACAATTTTCGAGTTTGTACAAGCTTTGCTGCAGCAAACTGCCACGACGTGCACATACACACACGAACATCACTGAGCCCCAACGGCAATGGGATCGTGTATGTGTGTGCGCCTGCGCTGAGAGCGCAAAAGTAGAAAAAAAAAACGAGGAAAATTAATAAAACAATATGAAACGCGAAATTGTCAAGTTTTTGAAAGGAAAGCAGACTTGAAAAACTTCCATGTGCCTTGTTCTATGCGTGTGTGTATGTGTTACGTGTGTGCGTGCGTGTATTTTTCCAGTCCATTGCCAATTGAAGTTACTTCTTGCTCATGTGAGCGGCAGCACATCTTGTCATGCGCTCACGCTCTCACTCACACAGGCACATGACACCACACACACAGGCACTCAACTCTCGCGATAAAATTCAATAATCGGACGAGTCTCGTCTTCCTAGTCTCGTTTCATTTTGCGCGCTCACTCGTCGTGGAAGCAGCAAGCATTGTGGTTCGCAGAGCAGCGTAAAGAAATTTTTTTACATATATGTACACCACATATATTGTATATATAATATAAATACTTTGTTTCGACTCAAAGCAACGCATACCTACCTACATACAAAGAACGCGCATAACCTTTAGCCGTGCAAAACGCCGAAAGAAAACCAAGTGCAGTCAGCAGCGAAACGAATTAAAATCTCGTTTTTCATTTGTAGCCTAAAACAAACACAAAACAAAGCAAAATGTCTTCGGAAGTGTCCAGCGATAACCCCATCTATGGCCCCTTCTTCGGTGTTATGGGCGCAGCCTCCGCCATCATCTTTTCGGGTAAGTGTGAACCACTAAAATTAAACATCCTCCTGTTCCGAAAAAAATCGAACATTTCGTGTGGCGTAAAAGGTGGAAGAGGAAGAGTAGGAGAAGCAGAAGGCACCAGTAGCTGCGAAAACCAATGCGTGTATGTGTACCGCGAAATAGCGGCAAGTGTGTAGTCCATTGAATACAGATAGATGGTTGTACGCATACAAAGAAGAAGTTCTTTGCGCTAGTATGCGCGTGACTGGCAGAAAATGTACCATGTTTTAGCCAGAAAAGTTGGTTCCATCACATAGAAAACACCATGCAGATTCTATTCACTTTTCATAGAAATTTGGCAGCTTGTAATTACGTTTTATTTGCAGTGGCCAAATTAGAAATTTCGTCTTTTTCTTTCAACATGCTAAAAACGGCATTACTCACACACCGACACACTCACACATGGTTGATGTGAGAGCAACGATTCTCGCTCGCTTGCGCACTCTCTCGCATTTGGCATTGGGTGAATGTGTGTGTGTGTGTGTGTGTAAGAAGAGTTACTGTTTTTTGTGAAGTTTATGAAGCTCGCTTTCCTTTTCACACAACAGTCACAAGACCAGAATGACAGTGTTGCCACATTTAGTTTTTTTCCCATCATTTATTGGTTAGAGTAGCAGCACGAGCTCTTGCTAGCACAAGGGGGCAAGGATATAATGAGTGTGATTGATTGAAAATATGGAGCCCAAAAAGTGTCGGCAAGACGGGGGCACGTGTCACTATCACACTGACATTGTAATGCACAAAATCCCTCCCCCTCAGCAGACAAATGTTTGGCCCCATTCCTCTTAATGTCCACAAACTTGTGGATCTATTGTTTTCCCCCGACACCCCTGTGGGTAATCACATGCCAAAATCGCTGAATGCATGATCAATCGTATCCCTGTAGACATCACATGCCCTGGGGTATGATCGTTTTTTCTAGCTTATCAGAGACCATTCATTCTGTATTTACCTTACTGATAAGTGGCTTATTTACCAATTGACTTGGCTGATAAGATAGCAAGTGCTCAAGCGATGTGATGTGGTGGAAGTGGATGTATGTCGCA